TAAACATTTTCATTTGCTGAACTCTTCCCCCTAGACCTGTTAATAATCAGCATGATTGTTTGAGTTGTACTTCCCCTTCCTACCTCCAGAGTAGATAACTAAAGTATTGGCAAGCGAGATCTACGCTTAAACAAATAGACAACAACAACAAAATAAAATGAAGGGTTGGCAGTGAAGTTGTGCGTGTGTTATAGTTACATATGGACTGCTACCTGATAGAGTGAGTGAGTGTCCATGTAAGAGGGATTACAGTAGGCACTAATTTAAGAACACTCATGGGGCATTGAGAGGATTTCTTACAGGGCTACGTCAAGAAAAACAGCTGTCGAAATCAAGTGTGTTGTCTATGTCTAAGGTTTTTATAAAAGCAGACATTTCTCTTTTGCTTTAATCTATTTTATAGTGTCTTTTTTTCAGCTTGAGAAAGAAGCCTGTAACAGTGCCAGGCACACAGTAGGCGCCACTAAGTATGTGGTGGTGATCTTCACCTCCGTTCCGGTGTAGGTCAATGCTGTTGTGGAAGAAGATAGCAGTATCCATTATTCTTATTACAGTCTTCATCACTGAAACCCATTTAAAACAATAAATCACTCTAACGCATTCTAGCAGAATATTTTTAGGTTATTCTTCAAATTCGTCTGTCGCTTTTTAAGCCATGCATTCATTTCCTAGCTCGTTTCCCATCTTTTCATTTCTTCTCCTTTTAATTATATCTGACCCTTTCCTGCATTTTCTTAAAACGTGCGTAATTACTTAATGTCCGTTCAGATATTGCAATGTTTGAGGGACTTGAGTGGAGCTCAGATATGAAGTGATCTCTTTATGATTGCAATAATATTTGCCTAGTCGCTCTACAGGTGCAGACCCATAGACATGTGTAAAGTACCGTGCTGAACTCACTGAGGGTCAGGAAAATGGGGAAAGCCATCGTCCTTGCCCTCGGGGCGTAGTCGGAGAGGAAGGGAGAAGGCTTTGTGGAAACAGTCTACACAGAGCACACTGTGTGTGCTGTAGCTCTTCAGAAAACAGTGCATTGAAATCCGAACACCACAACTGTGTTCTCAGTGTGAGGAAACTGCTGCTTCATCCTGAAACGTCGCTTAGAGAGGCAGCGTAGTCCTGTGGAAAGGAGACTGTCGGAGGAATGAAGAGCTCTGAGTTCTAGTCTTTTCACTGCCACTAGCTGAGAAATTCAAATTCCCTTCGCCTTTCTTCCATACCCAGCTTCAGTTTTTCTCTGTCTCTACAGTGGATTTTAACTAAATCCATCGCTTGTGTAAATATTGTGGTATAATACATGTGTTTGCTTTGCCTTCTTGGAAGATGTGCCCTGTCTTTTGTTTGTTTGAGTTGCTATTGACTATTATTCTATTTTTAATTACTATTAAGGAACGTAATAAATAATGATGTATGTGGAAAGGAGACTGTCGGAGGAATGAAGAGCTCTGAGTTCTAGTCTTTTCACTGCCACTAGCTGAGAAATTCAAATTCCCTTCGCCTTTCTTCCATACCCAGCTTCAGTTTTTCTCTGTCTCTACAGTGGATTTTAACTAAATCCATCGCTTGTGTAAATATTGTGGTATAATACATGTGTTTGCTTTGCCTTCTTGGAAGATGTGCCCTGTCTTTTGTTTGTTTGAGTTGCTATTGACTATTATTCTATTTTTAATTACTATTAAGGAACGTAATAATGATGTATAAGTTGTATACATTTTCATGGTGACTTCAAGTGGCCTTTGATAAATGAGATTAACTGATCAGTGCAGTCATGTGTTTGTATTTGGAGTTCTTTGTTCTTTGACACGTGTGCAATACCAAACATTTTAAAGCTATATGCTACATATTCTGAGTTTCTGAAATAAACATGTAGGCTTTTGTCATCAGGGATGGGCAAAACCCTGACAACACGGCCTGAGTATTCACCTCCTTTGACGACAACTGGGAGTCTCCGAGGCTTTTCTCAGGGCGCTGTTGTGAAAGCTTCTGGAGGTGACCTCGGATGCGTGACTCGAGGAGCAAGGAATTGGTGTCTGGTTTTGGCCTCTGAAGATTTTTGCTCTTTTTTCTGTGGAAACGGCTTGAAGTCTCTAACCAGTCTCCAGTCAGTGTTTTAGACTCTTAGTAAATGATCAACTCGAATGCATCCAGCCTATCGGTCTTCCTGCTTCTAAATTGGAAGAGAGAAGCTGCTAAGGAGCTAAGTCTCAGACTAGCATATCCGAGCACTTCCAACATGTAGTATGTAGTATGCTGTATCCTCTACTAACACCCTTTGAAACAAACCTCATTTGAAGATATTCTAGCTGTGTTAAATTAAAAGAAACCTCTCCTCTAAGTTTATTTCGTAAGTTATTCTTGTGTGTTGTGTAATATTTTGGTTCTGTTTATAAACACAAAGGCACCTGTGAGACCTGGTATAGAATGTGACAAAATCAAGATTAGCACAGTCACTTTGTGAAGCTGTTTTTTCTGCTTAAAGGGAACTAAAGTATGCACTCTCTGAAGCCCAAGGATGTTGATAAATAACAAAATGAAGCATTTGGAATGCTCAGAAGGAAGAAGCTGGCAGCAAGCGATTTGAAATTTTACCCATTGCCTTTTAAAATGAATAACGTACTTCGATACCATTAAACTTGAAGAGTTTTATTTTGGTTTTTTAATTGGTGGTCTGTAGACCACTGGCCCTTTCTCGCCAGTCTCTATGTTTTGCCCGAAAAGTTGGACAGAAGGTACCTGGCTGAAGTGTGGATCATCAGTGCAACTCTGTGCTTACCTCATGCACACTGCGTAAGGCCCAGGTGCTCCTTTTGTTGGGTGAATACTGTCTGATTTTCATTCGTGTATAATTTACCTGCATGGAGATGAAGAAAGCTTCTTTTTCTTAAATAAGCTTGAAAAGAAGATGAATGCACTAGGTTCTTGGGGAGAATGCATCGGATAGATGGCTCCCTTCATAATGGGCAGTTAAAAATCTGCCCTCCAGAAAGTGGAAGATGCATTCTCTACTGTATGGAAAGCAATATAGTACTGAAATATTCCTCCTTAATTTTGGTCCGAACGAGCAAAAGTGTCTGTGTTTATTCCTGCCTAATGCATCACAAATCTGCTGACATGCTAACCTTGGAGTCTTGGCTGGCGTTAATCAGGCCTGTGCACCGGCAGGAAGGAATGCTCCTAATGCACTCCATCAGTGCGGTTTGCATATGGAAGTTCTCACAGGGGAGCTGCCCTGTGCCAGCTGAGGGTTACCTGCCCACTGCAGTTATTGTGTGTAATTATCGAACCAATCTGTTGAGCCCAGCAGGGTTTAGATGGTAATCATGAAGCAACACTTTGGAGAAGAAAGATGTAAGGCACTCTCTCCTTCTCTCATCAGCTGTGTGAAGTTACGGCCACTCATCCAGCTTTTTTCAGAAGCAGCGCCTCCATCTACAGATCGGCTAAACGAACGCCTTTTGAAGTTTCTTAAGGTTTGGGCAAGCTGTTATTTCCGTATATGTGAAGGAGTTCCTTTAGGAACGTGGTGGACACCTCCAAGTTCTGATCTTTCCACAGCCACCCTAAGAATGTTTGGCAACACTGGGACTAATTGTAATACATAGATAATAACAGTTCTGACCATCTGGAGGTTTTAAGATAATGTGGCTTGAATAGAGTTCAGCTTTCCCATGTTCTCGTTTGGAACAAAACCCACGGTTGCCATTAGAAAAAAGAACAGTGTGCTGTCAGCAGGTATTATCCTCTGTGCTAGCTATACACAAAATGGCCTGCAGCAAGGAACCTTCTCAGATGACGTTTAACTTATTATTAATTGTTAGAAAATATAAACGGGGACATTCTGTTACCTTGTGAATCTGTAATTTGGGGCATATCAGATGGTTTTCTAAATGATACAGGCTTATTTTAGGCAACTAGAGAAACTTTGAATTAAAATTTGATTTGTAACCATTTAAATTTGAAGCTACCTCAGATAATGGTATATGAAAAATGTGATTTTGTATCATTACTAGTATCCCTCCCTATTCATACCTACTGTAGAGGTGCTAAGGAATTTTAAAACTTTACACAAACTGGATATGTTAGAAAATGTTGTGATAGATGGCAATAAGATAGAGCCGAAGGAGCCTCTGGGAAGAGTGGATGATGGTAGAATATAAGGACTGATGACTAACTCCTAAGTGACATCCCACTGGAAAAATGGATTGGAAATAGGAAAGGCCCAAGAAGATGGTGGAAATCCAACGGCTTTTAAGATGTTAGGAGAGCTTTATTTTGGGAGATTTAAGGCTGTTCTTTTGCAGTGAAGTTGGTGGCCCTCTTAAACTCTGGAATAAGAAGTGGCATGCCAAAAGAAGAGCATGTGTTAGACGTTTGCCATTGTTGATTCATGAATGGAATGTTACTATAATGTTATATGCTACAAACACTGACGCCATGTGTCGGATGAGGCATTTTTTTAAAAGCAGGATTTATTGAGAGGACAGAAAAACTTCCACAGTGGGAGGCGACCCGAGGGGCTTGCCAAGGGACGAGTCATTTATTTTTCCGTTTACCAAGTAGATTATCCTCCTCCCACACCTGCATTGTAAGTGGGGAGAATGTGTCACTGGCCAGAGTAAGTGGCCACAGCCAGGTTGTGAGACATTTTGTTTCCAAAGAGTTTCTGCATGATCCGTCCTGATGGTCAAAACGGCTTTCAGTGTTGAACTGTATAAAGCATGAAAAGTCAAGAGGTGTGGATGTAGCCAACATACACCTAATTAATACATCCAGATTAACTCTGTAGTGAGAGTGCTCTCACTCGCATTTTCTCCCATCCCTCATCCCTGCCTCATATAATCACGATCCTGAAGCTGCTGACATTCTTCCTGTGCGGTTTGGCACACCGACACCGGTGTACACTCACATATGTACTCACGTGCGGCAAGTGTGTATGTTGACTTACTTAACTCTCACATCATCTCTCTCTCTCTCTCTTTTCTATTTTTATACGTAATAAGCGAAAGAAAGAAATGGAAGAAAGCGCAGAATCTAGTGTTGAAGATATGGAATGCTCAAATGCTCAGACAGAGACCACTCAAACCCGTAAGTTGGACATTTTTGCTTAGCTTTGTCCATATATAGACACAAATTTCATTCTCTCCCATTAGATGAGGAGTTAGCTATTTGGGTCACAACGCTGCGATTTTATAATAAATATATGAGCGCGTATATTTGTGTAGCGTGTATTCCGGTGTCTTCTGTACACACATTATGCTACTTAACTCTTTATAGTAGTAATGAAATCAGGACCAGGGACCGCCTTCATTTGTAGAGTTGGAGCCTGGGACACTGAATGTTTAAATGACAGAGCTGCCAGGCATGGTAATGTGCATCTGTGATCCCAGCTACTCGGGAGGCTGAGGTGGGAGGATCGCTTGAGCTCAGGAGTTTGAGTCCAGCCTGGGCAACATAGACTTCGTCTCTAAAATGAATGAATGAATGCATGACTGAGCTGCTGTGAAAGGGTTAGAGGCAGAGGCTAGGACTCTTCCCTCTCAGGTCAGTGTATTCCCACTTGCTCACATAACTCTGGGTGTGAAGTGAATGTCAGAGTCAGACATGGGCTTATCCCAACTGCCAGATTCTACTTGCCTGAGTCGTGTGTTGTTCAGCATAAAGTCTGCTCACTCTTCTTTTCTCTGAGCAAGTTAGGAGGCAAGGAAGTAAAGCTTTAGACCGTCACTTTTCAAAGCTCTTGAAGCAAACAGCAAAGTGGGAAGTCATTTCTTAGATGGCTTGCAAACTGGCACTGAGGGCACTTCCAATAACGGAGTAGTTCCGGAAATGACGTTAGCAAAGGTGACATCTGCAAAGGGCAGAGCTGGGTTAGACTTTGGTCTGGGATGCCAATCAGGGTGTGCCACCTTTCATAAAATGTGACTGACTTGACTCCGTGAAGAGTCGGTGCTGCCCATAGTACATTTTTTAAAATGATTTCTCTCCTCTCTGTCTTTTGCTTATTATTTTGTTTGTCCTGAAATATTTTTTGATTTCTAACAGGAAAGGATTATTTTTGGTAAAAATTTTATTAAAGCACAAATGCCCCATAGAATAATGCCAGTGGTGTATTTCACCTTCTCGATGACAACGGCATTGGGTCATGTTTGTGGAAAGCAAAGTATTTGACTTTCAGAGAGAATCATCTTTGCCCTACTTTCATTAATATTTTCTTCATGACGTGTTACAGATAAACAGTGTTAGGTTTATCTGCTCTAACCCAAAGGACACTTGGGACATCTGAAGAAGAGTTACCACTTCCCTCTGGAGGCTCAAGATTGTGAAGTCATCCCTCTCTCTCTCCTGCTTCCGTCTTCTTTTCGCTGCTGTCTTTCCCTTCCTCCCTGTCTTGTTCCTTTTGTTATTAGGAAGTGAGGCGTCCCCAGGAGCAATTCAAGGAGGCATATCTCAGCCAGAGGCTGGCGGCAGCAGCTGTGACAGTGAGTGGGAGCAGAACTCAGGAGCGCTGATAAAGATGGAGTCATGCTCTTTAAAACAAAAAAAGAATCTCCCCTGAATTGTAAAGCTGGCAGTCTTAGTTCAGGAAAGGCCCTCCCTGGGTCTAGTCCGGGTGATGCCTGTGAAGTCTAGGACAGTCACAGCTGTGCATGGGGAGACTCGTGCCGCTCTTGACTGCCTGGACGTCGTTTGTTACCTGAACTTTGCTTAATGAGCACCAGAGGTATTTGTTCTGATAGATGGGTGGTGTTTCATTCTAGTGCAATTATGAAAACGTTTTTCTACCTCAGTTTTTAATGTAAGGTCTCCTCCTGATGATCTTTCCCTTGAGAAAATATATTAGTATGTTTGTTATCTTATTAATGGCAAGAATAGATTGCTAGATAATTTAAGAAGAAAAACTCAGATTTTTTTTGACCTGACTTTTTAAGAAGATAAAGAATAATCTGATTTATTCATTAAACTCTGAATTGCTTTACTTAATTAAATGCTGTTTATTTCCTCATTGCAATCTATTTTTTCCCCCTGAAGTACATGGCTAGTTAGGGTATTTTACTATCAAAATATTCATAAACAAGGGAAATATTGCCTGATGGGAACATGTTTTTGCTTCTAGCAAAAAAGAAAAGCCAAGGGTTCATGTAAATGTATATTTTTGTATTCATAAGTTTAAATTAACTTGAAGGAGAAGATGCATTATTACATTTGATCTTTTAAAAATTATTTTTAAGATATATAATACAATTCATGAGTTCTGTGTTTTAGAGCTCTAAGATTTTGTGTCATAACGTGTTTCAAGAATGGCTACCTCTAACAGCAGCTTTAGAAATGTCAGTTTTTTCATTAACAATTTTATTTTCAAACACAATTTATGATTTACAATATGGTAAGAGATTTTTCTCACTGTGTGATCTTTCAGAATGCTGTGCCTAGCAAAATGGGAGCAACTTTCCTTTAATATCTATTTAGACCATTTTAAAAACGCGTATAATTTTCTTGATACACCTAAACTCATTTTGAATAGTTGGGGGTCTATTGTGTAAGAACACATTCTGAAAGCTTTCAAAATGTGTATTGTGTAGGTTTTCTTAAAGAAAGAGAGGGGGTGATGGGGTGGTTTTCAAGAAGAACAGAGGCCTCTAATCCTTTTATTTTTATGCAAGGCATAATTTTTACCAATTGAGAAAATTTGGTTATTTGCTGCAAGTAATTTTTCCCCTCACAAAATGATAAGCCCTTAAAAATCATGCGTATTCTGGCATTTCAGAAACCATGCCAATATTTCAGAATTGTACTAAAAATTAGGCAATACAGCCATGATATTTATGGCTGCTGTATTTTGTCCCTCCTGTTTATAAAATGAAGACTGCCCTTGTTGGTGTTATTTTTGAAGTACGTTGGGTTTTGGACCATTCCTGAGGAATCTTTGGAGAAGGTTATAATCTTTGACTAGATTATGACAGTCAGGAAGAAGGTATGTTTAAGGATAACCTACAAAGAGGCTTTCCAGCTTTGTCTTTCCTTCTGCATTATAAAGTCGTCGAAGAGTATCCCAAACTTGTGTATGTTATCTTTCAAATACCAAATTATACTTATGAGTCTTAGGTTAGACCTTTTGCCATTAGTAGTATGTTGTGAGGATGGTTATATTTTACATTAAAGATACAAGGAGATCGATTTTTTTTCCTTCAGCAATCAGCATTGATTTAATTGATACAGCAAGATCTCCAGAGTGCTTAGGGCCGATTACAAATTCCAAGTGGTGATAGCATTTCTGGCTGAAGTAAGAAACTTTAAATCTAGATCGAAGGAGATAAGTAGCAGTGATGTTTCGTTTAAGAGTAAAATGTCAAATTAGGACATTAAGGAGAATAATGCTATTTGAATGTAGCTCTGTCTTTTGTAGTGTGGTTATGGATTCAGAATTTATTGAAAGAGATATGCATATTATAGTATAGGGATTGTTGACCTTGATTTTGTGATATGCTATTATTCCAATCCCACCATAACATTATTTTCAGTTTTCTATGCAGAGTTAATTTCAAAATTCTTGAAAAAAAATAATAGAGGGCTGTCAAAAAATTGAAGAAAAAACTCAGATTTAAAAAGCAGTCACAGTGGCTTATGCCTGTGATCCCAGTACTTTGGGAGGCCGAGGCAGATGGATTGCTTGCTTACCAGGAGTTTTAGACCAGTCAGGACAACACAGCAAGACCTCATCTCTACAAAAATAAAAAAAATTAGTGGGACATGGTGATGCACGCTTATAGACCCAGCTTCGCAGGAGGCTAAGGTGGAAAGATCACCTGAACCTAGGAGGTCAAGGGTTCTGTTGATCCTGCCACTGCACTCCAACCTGGGTGACAGAGACCCTGACTCAAAAAAAAGAAAAGAAAACTCAGAGTATTAACAATTGTACCTTTGTGTGCACATTTTATCTTTGCAAATCATCAGAATCAATTAGATTTTCAAATATTAATTACCACATATAGAAATATTTAAATTTATGTTCTTTTGCTTTCGTAAGTTAATAATTAAAATTTATTTGATTTCTCTTCAAGGTTCAAGAACCAGAAGGAGAGTCCAGAAGTAATTCAAAAGCTGTGAACCATCCTTTTCATTTGACCTTTTTCTCCTTTTCTATTTGAAGTGTTTTATTTTCATGTGAGTCTTGTGGGGTAGGAATAATAATTAGATGCCTATGTCTTTGAAAAACATACACCTTTTTTATTAAAATAAATATTTTGTACAATTGATTAAAGGCTAATATATGCAGTTCCAAAATCTTCAGGTTATACTCTTTAAGCTCTTCCAAGCTGTGTGTGTTTTGAGGTTTGGGGGTACATTTAAGAAAAATTACTATGACATGCACTTTTCTAATCATTGTACATTTTGCAAAGTAGAGAAAAATGTGTGACAGAGTCCTCACTTTTAAGGAAATGCGAAACTTAAAATAAAAGTCTGTCTCTTTTGTTTGATACAAATACACAGTTTGTTTTGGCCATAAGACTTGGTTTGTATTGCTTTTGTTCTGGTCCACAAGCATTTATTAAGCACCTGCTGTATGAAGCAGGAAGTGCAAGAAGGGAAAATAATATGAAAGAAAAAGTGGAGTGAGTATATCTATGGGAGAGAAAATGTACATGTTTGAAAGTTAGATTACGTAAGAATAACGTAAGTATGCAAACTGACAAGAAAACAGGTTATCAGTTATCAAGCAGCAGTGATCAAAGAGTGTATATAGACTGGCTTCCTCTAAGAAGTCTTGGGAACTAGTTATATAAATAGCCTAGAGTTCATTCGCAGGAGATTATTTTTCTCACAAGTTTTATTTTTATAGCTTGTATTATCTGTACAGTAAATCATGTACTTTAGAGTTTTAGTGATAAGAAATTTTCAGATACAGAGTTGTTTTAGTTGCCTTGGGAACAAATGCTTGGAATTTTAACATATGCATGAACAATTTCAAGATACATTCCTCAAAATTTATTAGGAAAATTGGGGTTGGTCTACATTTTCTAGTGGGTGTACACTTTACCACTTACTCATGTACAGCGTTTTTAGGTGGTATATAGACACAGTTGCATTTAAATATTTAATTATTTGAATATATATTCAGAATACAGCTAGTATATTAAACTATTCTTTACTGCTGAGGACAGGTGTAAAGTGGATATTTCCCTTTTTATGTAGCAAATTGATTGGAAGAAAATAAGTACATAAATGTACAGGTGGGATATGGACGTACCAATTGGCAAGGTTGTACCAAGTTTGAGAAACTCTAAACCAATACAAAGCCTGTAGCTCTTTGCTCTCTGATGTGGATATTTAGTTGTTATGTAAAGCATTCGTCCCTCTAATGGCCAGATATTGAAAAAATGTGAAAGCGGTCTGCAGACTTTCTTTGGAAGGCTACTCTCTGAATGCCTCCAGAAGTTATAGAGCTGCATGTCTTTACAGAAGAAGAATTTGATTTTGAGGAGATTCCTCCTGCTTCCTACAAAACGTTGGGTTTTGGTGCATCGGTGCAAATGGTCCCAAGATTATTTGTAATACCTAATTCAGCTCTCAAGCTCTGTTTTAAACACATTGATGCTTAAAATAGGAGAAAGTATGTGTGATGTATTTCTGTGTATATGCCTTGGCGTTTTTTATTTTTCAAAATACAAAAAGCACAGCATGTTGGTTAAATATTAAGGAAATGAATGTTTCTTCTCATATTGTTTTAAGCAAGTGCTGGCATTTTCTCGACTGTCCCTGTATGGGCAGGGCTACAGAAACGAGTGAAAAACTACAATAGCCAGTTTGAGTCATTACCTTTGTCCCTTGTTATGGTTCAGCATCTCCTTGTCACCCAGTTGCGCTTTTTTTCCGTGTCCTTTTCAATTCTATATTTAGTATTTGTATCTCTCATGGGGTCTAACTTTCTTTCTCACCCTGAGTGGCGTGATTTTCCCGTGATTTATCCTCCCCTCACACTCGGGTGTGCTCTTCAGCATGGATACTTAGCTCACCTGGTCCTGTGGTCTCTGCTTTTCTCCTCGGATCCTCTGTGAGCTGAGCTTGTCCGGTCTGTTGGGGACTAGCACTACTGCCAGGTGCCTGCTCTTTACACAGCAGAATTTGTATGTGCCCTACATTGTCTAGAAAGCAGCTGATAAATCTTGGTAGTAACTAAGCCCTGAAGTAAAATAGCTTCTAGGTGTTCTTTGATAGTGATCTCTTAAGACAAATCAAACACTAATAAGCCAGAGTTATAAAACCCTGATTATTTCTTTGAATTACTAAATTAAATGTGCTTATAAAGACCCAAGTTGCGTAGCAATAAATCAGTGGTGACGAGATATATGTGTGTGTGTCTTTATGTCTACAGTTGAACTTTGTATGCTTGTTTAATTCTTTAGAATTCTACTTTTAGTGCTTTATATTCTTCTGAATATAAAGGTGTACTGATAATACATGGTCATTATAGAAAATTTAAAACAGGCTGGGCTCGGTGGCTCAGCCTGTAATCCTAGCACTTTGGGAGGCCAAGGCGAGAGGATTGCCTGAGCCCGCGGGTTCGAGACCTGCCCGGACAACTTGGCAAGACCTTGTCTCTACAATAAATAAATAAAAAAACTAGCGGGGTGTGGTAGTGTGCGCCTGTAGTTCTGGCTCCTTGGAAGGCTGAGGCAGAAGGATCGCTAGAGCCCAGCAGGTTGAGGCTGCGGTGGCTGGGAGCGTGCCACTGCACTCCAATCTGGGCAACAGAGTGAGACTCCAATTCAAAAAAAAAAATAGAAAGTTTAAAGCATATAGAAAAGTGTCAAGAGACAAACCAGGCCAGGCACAGTGGCTCATGTTTGTAATTCTAGTATTTTGGGAGGCTGAGGCAGGAGGATTGCTTGAGGCCAGGAGTTCAAGACAGTGTAGTGAGTTCTAGGCAATGTAGTGAGACCATGTCTCTACAAAAAAACCAAAAACTTAGCCAGGCGTGGTGGCGTGCACCTGTACTCCCAGCTACTTGAAAGGCTAGGGCAGAAGGATCATCTGAGCCCAGGAGTTTGAGGCTGTGCTGAGCTGTGATCCTGCCACTGCACTGCAGCCTGGGCAACAGAGTGAGACCCTGACTCAAAAAAAAAAAAAAAAAAAAGAGAGAGAGAGAGAGACAAACCAACCATGATACTACCACCCACAGGCTGATGTGCTAATATTTTGACATATTTTCTTCCAGTCATTTCTATGTACTTTTATTTTTAAATAGTTGTACTTTATATAAAACTTGATACTCTGCTCTTTAAAGCTAACATAAAATACTTTTCATGTTATTACAAATATTTCGTGAATATAGCTTAAGTTTCCATACTATTCTTATGCATTTAATGATAGTTTCATGACCATTTTCCTAATATGGATGTTTAAGTTGTTTTCAGTATTGAGATATTATAAACAATATTCTTGAACAAAATTGGACAGAAATCTTTCTCAACATGCATGAATATTCTTAGGCTTTCAAACAGGAATCACTGGGTCGGAGACTATGAAATGGAAAGTCATTGACTGCTTTGCAACAATCTGTAAGCTAACACTTTGCCTAATAAATCAGAATGCTTGACTTACATTTTCGTGCTCCTCAAGGGCTGGAGACTGAAATTCGCGTTGCTGCCAAACCCCCAGGATGGTCGTACTTGGAGGTGGGGCCTGTGGGAGGTGATTAGGTCTGAGGATGAAGCCCTCAGGAATGAGGTTAGCGCCTGTAGGAGAGACGGGAGAGAGGCAGGACCTGTCTGTCGAGCCGCTGTCTCTCAACCAGGAGGAGCGCTCGCTCCGAGAACAGAGTCCGCTGGCACTTGGATCTTGTGCTGCCCAGCCTCCAGGACTCTGAGAAGTTAATGTGTTCTTCAAGCCACCCGGACTGACTGAGACTTTGTTTTATTTTTATAATCTGATCAGTAAACGTTTTTGATTGCTAGTGAACCCAAGCAATTTTTTTATTTGTAAACTATTCATTCTGCCTTCTCTTTGGTGTACCGTATGTACTGTTTACGTAGTAGCGACCTTAACCCTATGACCTGTTTGTTGCTCACTTGTTCCTGTTTATTTTTTGTTGACGATATATTTTTAATATTTATGAAGTTTAGTTTTTATGACTTTAATCGATTGATCTTTCATTGTAATTTCTGCCACCATTTTCAAGTATTTTTCATCTGGAAATCAAGACATATTTGCCATGACTTTTTCTGGGCTTTTAGTTTTAATGCTTCCACATTTTCAATCCGTGTGGAATTGATTTGGGTGTGTGTCTGCCATGAGGTGAGCATCACAGTGGATCTCTTCCCCAGCAACTCACCAGTAGCTCCAGGACTGTCTGTTGGTGAACCCCTTCCCCACCCTTCTTCTCCTCTCTACACACACACACACACACACACACACACACACACACACACACACACACACACACCCGTTTGCGATGCTGCTGTGTCACATCTTAGGTTCTCGTTTCTGGACTGTCTGTTTGATCTCACTGATCTGTCGGTATGCCAGCTTCACGCCGACTGAATTAATGCCATTTTACTTACTAATTCTTATTTATTGCCTAAACCACATGAACAGAAATCAAAATGAAAGAAAAAATTGTACTTATGATCCCACCACTACAAAAACCAAACTCTTGTTCTTTGGCTGTGTTATTCTCGGTCCTGTTTCATGCCTCCTTAATTTTTCATAGTTATGACAGTTGCGTAGGTCCAATTTTGTAGTTCCACAGGTTATTCTGTAACTCTCTCATTTATTAAGCCCTACTGCTTTGGAAAAACACCCAAGAATTAATATTGTGAAATGGTTCTGCTGTACCTGTAGTCTCATGCACCGTGTTAGTGATTCTATGCAGTATGCCACTGACCCGATGATTTAGACAACTCGCTTGATCTCTTGCATGTTGTTGGACACCACAGATGCTTACCACTTTCACCGAACTAAGAATGTGCTTATACATATGATGCTGAGTTTCTTTTGTTGAGGCAGAAAGGACATAAGATTGAGTCAATATACCCAACGAGCAGCAGTTTTAACACTGCTTAACTTTGTCACATTTGGCTAGCAGTTCACTTCAACGTGCCCTCTGATCACTATCCAAGGACAGAACCGGCTTCTCAGAGGTAGCTATCGATCGCTGTTTTAGAACCCTCCCCAGCTTGTTTGCAAACAAGTGAACCTGACCAGCCCTTCATAACCTTCATGACTCAGACCCCATCAACGTGGCAGCAGTCATGTGACTGGCCCACTCATCTGCCGCCGACAGTACCCGTGCTCGCCTGCCCCTTCATGATGACTGGGAACTGACCGCCACCCCCCAATCAACTTAATGACCTGCCCCGTCAAGGCTTAAAAGCACCCAGCTTCACACAACCCATTCACCATGGCGTTGTTAAACCCTGGTGTGTCCTTGTGGCTCTGTGAGCTATGGCTGTGCTGCTGCCGAGCTTTGGCTCCTCCCCTACCTTGGAGAAGTGGATCTCCTCTCATTTACTTTCTAATAAACTATATTTTGCGACATAACTTCTGTGCGCTTCTTTGCATCTTCTGTGGGACACTGGATCACCCAACCACCCCCCGTGGATCTGACTTAGCATTTTGGAGGCTCTGCTGGGATTTTTTTTTTTTTTAATAATTAATCAGTATTTTTTATTATGGTTTTGTGGGGTACAGTTAAGGGTTAGGTGTACAATTACGTTTCATTCAGGCACCCTGTTGTCTGCTGGGATTTTTTAACCTAACCAAGGCATAGCCATTTTCAACTTACAGATAGCACTCTTGAACATTTGGAGTTTGGCACGTCATAAAGTTACCTGTGAAACTAATCCATTGAGCAAATTCCGTTTTGTTTATGAGTCACTGCAAATGATCTTCAAAAAAAGAAAAAGAAAAACCCTTGCTTACCTTAATCCAATGCTATTTAAGGCCTTGTGCTGAAATACCAGAAGTGTGAATGGAGCTACTCTAAGGTAGTCTTTGTGCTGGGAACCAGAAGCAGGAAGGAGCAAATCCAGAGGATGGGAGAAGTAGAACCATAGTCTGAAATCCGTTTTCACATTTCTGTGGGTTGCCTTTCGGCTTCCGATATATTTTAGAAGCAAGTGAAAAGTGATCACAGTTATTTAAAACAGACGCCTTGCAATACCGGGGCTATGGGTTTTTTTTTCTTATGGAAAAATCACTATATTCAATGTTCTCTGGCTCTGATGCAGAAATCGTAGCACAGAAGTCATGGTGGTCCTTGGTGTAATTATCAGATGTGAGAAGCCCCTCCAAGCCCTCTTTTAAACTTCTCCCATGAGTGTCCAATATGTATTAGTACATAAAGGTCAGGGTAGAGCCACTGCTGAAGGATCTGCCAAACACGGAGCCTGGAAAGTTCTACGATAGCCTACTGCAGAGAAAGTCACAGTTGGGAGTGGTTCTGTTAGACTGCCTGGCAAAGAGAGAGAGGGTCTGTTTACTTCCTGAACTTTTCTCGGGAGAGACGTGTTCCTTCAGGGTTCTTAAGACCTTTCACGTTCTGGGCGTTGTAGTCCCACCCCCACCCAAAAGCAAACAATTTTGTTCTCTTGTCTTTATTTCGCTGTCACAGAATATTTTGGTGCAAACTTGTGAGTCCATTCGACTGGAAAGGTAATACCACATTCTAATCGGCTTAACGTAATTGCAAAGGTATCTGACTTGGTGATCCCCGTGTGCCACCTCTCACCCCCAGTTTCTTGTGCAAAAACCTTTGGCAGATATTTTAAAACTTCAGACAAAAATACGTAATGTACCCTGCCATTTGTACCATTAAAAAGGGTCATTTAGCCAATTCTTGAGACACACATTTGCAGTGGGATTTTGTTTTATTTTTCTTTTTAAAGTTTCTAACCAGGCTTTTGAAAGAACTGCCTGTATTGCAGGGTGCCGCAGTCCCAAAACATGACTTTGTATGTCATGCAAAGCGTTCAGAAAGCAAAGGTGACTGAAATTGCATCAAAATGGTTTCCAAGGCCCTGTCTGTTCCTGTAGAGGTCAGAGAAACCACAACCTTGCAAGACACGATTTGAGGTCAAGAATTCGAAACACCCGCTGTTCCCAGTGAACTGTATGATGCTCACAGAAAGTGTCTGGAAGGGAGGGCCAACCTAAGTGAACTGTCATGATAATACCTGGTTGGTCTTGTAGCAGCAAAATTGAGGGAAGTATGAACTTTTAAAAATGGGTGTGTTTTTTTTCAGTGTGATTGTTGATAGCCGCATTTGAATGTAGAGTCCCAACACAAAGAAGCAAGCTGCCTTTAGACTGCATTTACTGCTCTTGATGACTCCAGTTGTGTGTA